AGTAGTAACGTCAGGGGATGATATTTATTTATTTAGCATTTCTAAAACGTGATTGGTTTAGGGTTAGTGGCGTTGTCGACGACTTGATGGAACTTTTTGGCCTCCTCTGTGGAGTCGATTCATCGTGAGTGAGGTCCTAATCAAGTGGTGTTATAAAACTAACTAATTGTAAATGTCATAATCATTTGTTAACAAACAAGTATTCATTACTTCAATGAGCTCATTGTATCTGCATTGAATTACTACATTGTTTAAATTACTAATTGTGATTTTGTATATGTACATTTCTGAAATACATAACTGAGACAGTCTCCTCTGATGACAGATCACTGTAAACTGTAATATGGACTCGTGCACTTTCTGTAAAGCTGCTTTGAAATGATGTGTATTGTGAAATAAACGAAAACAAAAGTCACAGTTAGCTCAAACGTTTACATATGTAATTTTGGTGATCAAAGATGAGTTTCAAGGGATAAAATGATTGACTACACCCAGAGTAAGAGTAAGAACATGATTCTTTGCATCTCCTCACCTTTGATGGCCATCTCCTCCTCGAGCTTCATCCTCCAGACCTCCACCTCCTCCTCGATATAACCTCTCTCTATGTCAGCCGAGCCCTTCTCCGCGGTCAGGGCTTCGATCAGCTCCCTCATCTCCTTAAACTTCAGCTCGTACTCGTCCCCGAGGCCGGTGGGTCCAGCTTTAAAGCGTCCCTGAAGCGACTCCAGCTCGGCCCTCAGCGAGGCGTTCCTCGTCTCCAGCGCCTGGACCTTCTCGATGTACCCGGCGAAGCGCACGTTCAGCTCCTGCATCTCCTCTTTCTCGTTGGTTTGGTGCTGATGGATCTCGGTGGCGACTTCCACAGCCTGACCCGGGAACCCGGCTCGCCCTCGGCTGAGCGACGAGCCTCGGCATCGGGACGGAGACGGGCTCTGGACCCTCATCCGACTGGAGCCGCTGACGCTCAGGCTCTTCTGCGAATACGACGTTCCCCTCATGTCTTTATCCTCGGGCTTCTGCTGTCGAAGGTGCTCCTGGTGCGACTCTCGGGTTGAGTTTATATGGACCCGCTAAGAATCTTGCACTGGCGCTTGAAAGTCTTGCAGGGTTTTGACATGTTTTAAATGCGGATCATGAGCGAGTTCGAAGGCTTGAGTTTCTCATTAGCTCACGTATGATTGTTATTCAGAGGCCGAGAGGCTCTCGCACTCCAGTGCCACATAACCAGTGTGTGTGTGAGCACTATTGCTTCTGCCTGTAATTCCAGCCCAGTGTGGCTCATTGTTTCCATATAACCTCACACGGATGAATTAATGCGCCGTACAAATAGCTGTCTTTTCTGCTGGTTTCTTTCCATTTGTTTGTCAGGTGTTCTTGATTTGCTCTAAAAAATGGTTCTTTCCTCAGTATTCTGATTTAAGAATGTTTAGATATTTGAAAACAAGATACATTTACTGAAGAAGCAGCAAAATGCCTGAAGATATCACGCCTTGTTTAATGTTTTTCAGTGGGGTCAAAATCTTGAATCCATTGTCAGATATTTGTTCTTGTTTTAAGCATAAACTCGCTTCATTTTTTTCCAATTTTCATAAAAGAATGAAAGACTTCAGTCATTTTGCTGCTTCTCCAGTACATATATCTGGATTTAAGAATGTTTAGATATTAGATATATTTGTACTGGAAAACAAGATACATTTACTGGAGGAGTGAAGATATTACGCCTTGTTTAATGAAAAAAATATTCAAATGAAGTGAGTTTGTGAGTTTGTGTTAAAACAAGAACAAATATCTGCTAATGGAGTCAGAAAAATAATCTAGTTTTCCCTTTGAATGAAGTTTGTTTTTCTGACTCCACTTGCAGGTTTGCTCTTGTTTTAAGCATAAACTCGTTTCATTTTGATCTCATTTTTATTAAACAGTTAAAGACTGCTTCTTCTTCTTCTTCTTCAGTAAATGTGTCTTGATTTAAGAATATTTAGATATTTGTGCTGGAAAAGACAGAAACACTGAGGAAGAACGTGATTTCTTGCAGTGCATCTCATCAAAATGTTATATTTAGTGCTCCAGATTATCTTGATTTAGATAAAATGTAATCATTTTGTTTTTTAAGATGCTCGATTCAATAGGAATACTCGTCTTGTGTCGTGATTCGACAGCAAGTCTTATAAAGTGTTAAAACTAACACTTTCTCGATTTGAGAATTGGATGTCACTGTAAAAAAAATTGTTGAAGTACTTGAATAGATATATATTGGAGTATGTTTTTCTACTTCAAAATTTCATGTTTAATTGAACATCACATTTCTATGTAATTATTTCTGAGTAAATTCTACATCAGATTTTTTTTTCAGTGGCAGATAAGCTGGTTTGAGTTGATATATGACGTGTGTGTGTGTGTGTGTGTAGCTGGAATGTGATCGTCTCATGAGAATATTATGGCATTCTCAGCTCTCCACATCTCTGACACTGACTGATGCTGTTAATATAGATATGCAGGAATACTGCGCTCTATACATCACTCTTAACCTCATCAGCTTTTCAACACACACTCTGTTTACAACAAGGCAGTGACATTATCTGACATTATTACGGAAGAATAACTGTAGATCGCCTCTTAATCCCCCGCTGAGAGGTGGTTCTGAGACTGCACTGTCCTGAGTAATGTCTAAGGTTGTGTGGTTTCAATCTGGCGTTCCTCAGGGGTCCGTTTTGGGCACTTTTCTCTTTTACTCATTTACATTTTCCCTCTTTCCTAAGTTTTTATTTTTATGCAAACGACAGCCAGATTTACATAGATTTTGATGATAATGTGGCTGTGGCCTTTCTTTCTCAAAGTATTTCTTTCTCAAAATGGTCTTTGTCTTAACAGTGACGAGACGGAGGCTCGCCACACCAGCTAACATACCGATCTACTCTTTCTGTTTCTGTTTCTTCTTCTGAGAACACATTTCCGTCAGTATCTCCTCCTAGAGCTTTAAACTCAACTCCGACTGTTCTGACTCGGTTACTGTGTCTTTTCTTACTGAATTCCTGTATCGGACTTCCAAACATTCCCAAATTCTCATAAATCTTCATTGAGGGGGTCAAAACTTTCACACAGTAACTCTTAAAAAGTATTTAATCTATTACTAGCAAAGCTTACCAACTATCATAGACAATAGTGTCATTGTTCACCATAGTTTCTACTCTAATTACTGCTGTTATTAATATTGTGCGTACGGTAATATTGTTTTTTATGACAGGCTAACACAATTTAAGACCGAAACAAGAATGTGAAAAGTTAATAGGAGGTTAACAAGAAATCACATGAAAACAACATCAGAGCTGGAGCTGGAAGACTAAGTGTAAAGTGACACTGATTCTGTAATAGAATAATATCAGATTAATTCAGTTTCTGCTTCATATGTGGCACATGATGATCCTCGTTCATCTCCAGATCTGGTTTCTCTGTACAGTCTCCAGTCTGAACTAAAGGCTTGGAAAAGCTATTGTGTCATCTAGTGGGCAACGATGAAAACAGCAGTTAATCTACTGTGTACTATGCTAAATATAAGTTACAGTTAACTCTGGATATGCATGAACTATACGTAATTTTCCATTTGGGAAACTCCAAAAGAACATTTATTAGTTTTATAGCCTGGATCCCATGAGTTAAGGATAAAGCTGTGGCTTTTTTTTTTTTGTGCAAATAGGTTCAGATCTAAAAAACTTTAATTGAAGTAAAATACTAATTCAATCATTTAGAGCCTGCAATATTAACATTGTTAAACTGTTTATTGTAAATGGTTTATAATGCCTTCAATTCTATTGACTGCAAGTTACACTCTTGCAAGTTAATTCAGTGAATGGCATTTAGTTATCAACTAACAAATTTGACAGATAATCTGTGTGTGTGTGTGTGTGTGTGTGTGTGTGTGTGTGTGTGTCTAGCATGTACAGAGTGAGTGTGTGTGTGTAGCATGTACAGAGTGTGTGTGTGTGTGTGTAGCATGTACAGAGTGTGTGTGTGTGTAGCATGTACAGAGAGTGTGTGTGTAGCATGTACAGTGTGTGTGTGTGTGTGTGTGTGTGTGTGTGTGTGTAGCATGTACAGTGTGTGTGTGTGTGTGTGTGTAGCATGTACAGTGTGTGTGTGTGTGTGTAGCATGTACAGAGTGTGTGTGTGTGTGTAGCATGTACAGTGTGTGTGTGTGTGTGTGTGTAGCATGTACAGTGTGTGTGTGTGTGTGTGTGTGGCATGTACAGAGTGTGTGTGTGTGTGTGTGTGTAGCATGTACAGAGTGTGTGTGTAGCATGTACAGAGTGTGTGTGTGTGTGTGTAGCATGTACAGAGTGAACAGCAGCGGTCCTAGTACTGAGCCTTGTGGTACGCCATACTGAACTTGTGATCGATAAGACATCTCTTCATTTACTTTTCATTTGTGACTCTGATGAGAGCTGTCTCAATGCTATAGTAGCCACTGTTTCAAATAAATACCTCAGGTTGTGTTTATTTTCTTCTAATAGGGTTGAAAAATAACCAGATCTAGCAGCTTTTAAAGCCGCTCTGTAAGCAGTCGAGCTCTCCTTCCATGAAATGCGAAATACCTCTAGTTTAGTTTTCTTCCAGTTGCGCTCCATTTTTCTGGCTGTGACAACTAACCCCTGATACACACACACACACACACAGCAACTTTACACGATTTACCCGACAGCTCTAAAATATAATGATTTTTATGGAATTAAAACATTACCAAAATGTCCGTAATTAGTAGCTCTAATAAAGAGACGATTTACAATCTCAGCATTAACCAACACCATAAGTGGAAACTGATTTCACACACTTTCAACCAGAGCATAAACATTAGTTTTCAGTCTAATCTATAGTTAAACCGCTTCAGCCAACATTAATCCTCTTGATCTGAGGTCGGGTACCGTGGTAAACGCAGGGGGTCAGTCAGCAGACAGTCAGATGGAGTGTGTGAGAGTGTGTGAGCTGAACCCGTGACGGTCATGAGAACTTCTCAAGGGCTTTCAGAGCCGCTCTGAATCACACACACACACACACACTCTCAAACAGCAGACGCTCTCAGGAATCACAGCATCAGTTCAGGTAAGATCCCTTTCTCTTCCATCACTGCAAAAAATGCTTTTCTTACTTAATATTTTTGTAAATTATGTCATTATTTATGACATAATTTATAATAAATTATGTTATTTATATAAGTAAAATGACATAAGAAATTCTCTTGTTTTCTGATAAAAAAGAAATGTAATTACAAAAGAAATGTAAATAAATGTAATGCTTAAAACAAGCTAAAGTATTTGCCAATGGGATAAAAAAACTTATTTCAAATGGAAAACGATTACTTTTCTGACCCCATTGGCAGATCATTTTACTTGTTTTAAGCAAAAACTAAATTTTTATTTTTATTGTTCATCAGGAAACAACACTGAATTTCTTGTCATTTTATTTATCTAGTAAATGCTTCTTGATTTAAGAATTTTTAGATATTTGGACTGGAAACAAGACCGTTATTTGCCGTCTACGAAAACGTTTCGGTGCATTTGCTGCATAGAGTTCATTTAATTCAATTCAGATGTTTCTTTTCACTGAATGTTTATTCTGTCAGATTTGAATTTCAAAAAACTTCTTAATAACATGTCCAGGTTATGATATTCCTCAAATATAAAAGGAATAAGAAAATATATTTTGCATTTAAAAAAATTAAACCTATTAGGACCATAAAGAATGTTTTACATTGTGACATTGTTTACATTATTGTCATGACAATTAAATTATTTTTTCATTACTGTAATATAAAAAATATGTTATTTAGATTGTAATGTAGTTTGTTGTACGTACTTAAATTTATCATCAAAATATATTTGTACTGCAAAAATAACCATTACAGTAATGAGAATCAAATACCAATCAAGAATAGAATTTGAAAGTAAAACATCATTAATGAGAATATAGAGGTCAAATTTAATAATTACATAATTAAATATATATTAATGGAAATGTAAACATGCTTTATTGTCAGGCAAAATATAATTCTTTTGAATGTTGGGGTGAGTTAGACCTGGCCGTGTTTTCCTGAGACTGATCTCTGCGTTTATGAATCCATATCTCACTCTCTCCTGTATATACTGATGATGAAGGACTGCAGTGTTTGTCATATCTCAGTGTTTATGATTATCATTTTTCAGTGGTTTGGTGATCATGTCTTACGGT